CAAGTGAATTTGTTTTAAAGAAATTACTATTCACATTATTCCAGTTCCCATGTAAGTCATAAACAATTCGACAGAATGGCAAAATATCTTAACAGTTTTTGACAAAAATATACAGCTTCTATCACAAATAAGATACAATAACTTTTTTCATACCTCGATAATCTTCCTGAAAGAAAAATTATTCAATTTGAAAAAAAAATTACTTTATACTTTTGATATAATTTTTAAATAAAAATATAATGTAAAAAAATAAATTTTTTTAAAAATAGAATGCTTTTATTATGGCGTCCTAAAAAGTAATAAATAATAGAGAAAAATTGTACAACTGTTTAAAAGTTCAATAAAAGAAAAAACATGAAAGAATTTATGTTTGACAAATTAATGTTATACTATTTCAAACATTTTTAATTCAAATCATTTAAAGTTAAAATTTTACAATGGATGAATTGTTTCAACTTTGAATGCTTTTAAAAATTAATTTTTCATAAAACTAAAAAAATCAATTTCAAAAAATACTCAGAACTGTCACGATCTTTTTGATTGGATTTGAATTAAAAAATGTTCGGAATGATATATAACTTATTTTGTCAACGTATTAAGGGTCTTCCTCTACTCGGCTCGGGCTGTCAATTTTTTTCTACACTTTTAGGTGTATTTTGTGCAAGAAAATGCATTAAAATCGTCTGCCTAAGAAAAATTAAATTATTTTGGGAACTTTTTTATAATTTTGGATTTATGGGTTAAATGACATTTAGGTGGTAATAGGTGTCTTCCTCTACTCTTTTTTGGCTGTCAATTTTTTTCTACACTTTTAGGTGTATTTTGTGCAAGAAAATGCATTAAAATCGTCTGCCTAAGAAAAATTCAATTATTTTGGGAACTTTTTTATAATTTTGGATTTATGGGTTAAATGACATTTAGGTGGTAATAGGTGTCTTCCTCTACTCTTTTTTGGCTGTCAATTTTTTTCTACACTTTTAGGTGTATTTTGTGCAAGAAAATGCATTAAAATCGTCTGCCTAAGAAAAATTAAATTATTTTGGGAACTTTTTTATAATTTTGGATTTATGGGTTAAATGACATTTAGGTGGTAATAGGTGTCTTCCTCTACTCTTTTTTGGCTGTCAATTTTTTTCTACACTTTTAGGTGTATTTTGTGCAAGAAAATGCATTAAAATCGTCTGCCTAAGAAAAATTAAATTATTTTGGGAACTTTTTTATAATTTTTGGTTTATGGGTTAAATGACATTTAGGTGGTAATAGGTGTCTTCCTCTACTCTTTTTTGGCTGTCAATTTTTTTCTACACTTTTAGGTGTATTTTGTGCAAGAAAATGCATTAAAATCGTCTGCCTAAGAAAAATTAAATTATTTTGGGAACTTTTTTATAATTTTGGATTTATGGGTTAAATGACATTTAGGTGGTAATAGGTGTCTTCCTCTACTCTTTTTTGGCTGTCAATTTTTTTCTACACTTTTAGGTGTATTTTGTGCAAGAAAATGCATTAAAATCGTCTGCCTAAAAAAAATTAAATTATTTTGGGAACTTTTTTATAATTTTGGATTTATGGGTTAAATGACATTTAGGTGGTAATAGGTGTCTTCCTCTACTCTTTTTTGGCTGTCAATTTTTTTCTACACTTTTAGGTGTATTTTGTGCAAGAAAATGCATTAAAATCGTCTGCCTAAGAAAAATTCAATTATTTTGGGAACTTTTTTATAATTTTGGATTTATGGGTTAAATGACATTTAGGTGGTAATAGGTGTCTTCCTCTACTCTTTTTTGGCTGTCAATTTTTTTCTACACTTTTAGGTGTATTTTGTGCAAGAAAATGCATTAAAATCGTCTGCCTAAGAAAAATTAAATTATTTTGGGAACTTTTTTATAATTTTTGGTTTATGGGTTAAATGACATTTAGGTGGTAATAGGTGTCTTCCTCTACTCTTTTTTGGCTGTCAATTTTTTTCTACACTTTTAGGTGTATTTTGTGCAAGAAAATGCATTAAAATCGTCTGCCTAAGAAAAATTAAATTATTTTGGGAACTTTTTTATAATTTTGGATTTATGGGTTAAATGACATTTAGGTGGTAATAGGTGTCTTCCTCTACTCTTTTTTGGCTGTCAATTTTTTTCTACACTTTTAGGTGTATTTTGTGCAAGAAAATGCATTAAAATCGTCTGCCTAAGAAAAATTCAATTATTTTGGGAACTTTTTTATAATTTTGGATTTATGGGTTAAATGACATTTAGGTGGTAATAGGTGTCTTCCTCTACTCTTTTTTGGCTGTCAATTTTTTTCTACACTTTTAGGTGTATTTTGTGCAAGAAAATGCATTAAAATCGTCTGCCTAAGAAAAATTAAATTATTTTGGGAACTTTTTTATAATTTTTGGTTTATGGGTTAAATGACATTTAGGTGGTAATAGGTGTCTTCCTCTACTCTTTTTTGGCTGTCAATTTTTTTCTACACTTTTAGGTGTATTTTGTGCAAGAAAATGCATTAAAATCGTCTGCCTAAGAAAAATTCAATTATTTTGGGAACTTTTTTATAATTTTGGATTTATGGGTTAAATGACATTTAGGTGGTAATAGGTGTCTTCCTCTACTCTTTTTTGGCTGTCAATTTTTTTCTACACTTTTAGGTGTATTTTGTGCAAGAAAATGCATTAAAATCGTCTGCCTAAGAAAAATTAAATTATTTTGGGAACTTTTTTATAATTTTGGATTTATGGGTTAAATGACATTTAGGTGGTAATAGGTGTCTTCCTCTACTCTTTTTTGGCTGTCAATTTTTTTCTACACTTTTAGGTGTATTTTGTGCAAGAAAATGCATTAAAATCGTCTGCCTAAGAAAAATTAAATTATTTTGGGAACTTTTTTATAATTTTTGGTTTATGGGTTAAATGACATTTAGGTGGTAATAGGTGTCTTCCTCTACTCTTTTTTGGCTGTCAATTTTTTTCTACACTTTTAGGTGTATTTTGTGCAAGAAAATGCATTAAAATCGTCTGCCTAAAAAAAATTCAATTATTTTGGGAACTTTTTTATAATTTTGGATTTATGGGTTAAATGACATTTAGGTGGTAATAGGTGTCTTCCTCTACTCTTTTTTGGCTGTCAATTTTTTTCTACACTTTTAGGTGTATTTTGTGCAAGAAAATGCATTAAAATCGTCTGCCTAAGAAAAATTAAATTATTTTGGGAACTTTTTTATAATTTTTGATTTATGGGTTAAATGACATTTAGGTGGTAATAGGTGTCTTCCTCTACTCTTTTTTGGCTGTCAATTTTTTTCTACACTTTTAGGTGTATTTTGTGCAAGAAAATGCATTAAAATCGTCTGCCTAAGAAAAATTAAATTATTTTGGGAACTTTTTTATAATTTTGGTTTATGGGTTAAATGACATTTAGGTGGTAATAGGTGTCTTCCTCTACTCTTTTTTGGCTGTCAATTTTTTTCTACACTTTTAGGTGTATTTTGTGCAAGAAAATGCATTAAAATCGTCTGCCTAAGAAAAATTAAATTATTTTGGGAACTTTTTTATAATTTTGGATTTATGGGTTAAATGACATTTAGGTGGTAATAGGTGTCTTCCTCTACTCTTTTTTGGCTGTCAATTTTTTTCTACACTTTTAGGTGTATTTTGTGCAAGAAAATGCATTAAAATCGTCTGCCTAAGAAAAATTAAATTATTTTGGGAACTTTTTTATAATTTTTGATTTATGGGTTAAATGACATTTAGGTGGTAATAGGTGTCTTCCTCTACTCTTTTTTGGCTGTCAATTTTTTTCTACACTTTTAGGTGTATTTTGTGCAAGAAAATGCATTAAAATCGTCTGCCTAAGAAAAATTAAATTATTTTGGGAACTTTTTTATAATTTTTGGTTTATGGGTTAAATGACATTTAGGTGGTAATAGGTGTCTTCCTCTACTCTTTTTTGGCTGTCAATTTTTTTCTACACTTTTAGGTGTATTTTGTGCAAGAAAATGCATTAAAATCGTCTGCCTAAGAAAAATTCAATTATTTTGGGAACTTTTTTATAATTTTGGATTTATGGGTTAAATGACATTTAGGTGGTAATAGGTGTCTTCCTCTACTCTTTTTTGGCTGTCAATTTTTTTCTACACTTTTAGGTGTATTTTGTGCAAGAAAATGCATTAAAATCGTCTGCCTAAGAAAAATTCAATTATTTTGGGAACTTTTTTATAATTTTGGATTTATGGGTTAAATGACATTTAGGTGGTAATAGGTGTCTTCCTCTACTCTTTTTTGGCTGTCAATTTTTTTCTACACTTTTAGGTGTATTTTGTGCAAGAAAATGCATTAAAATCGTCTGCCTAA